AACATAGGAGTGCATATATCCTTTCTGATTGGTAGTTATGAACTCTTAATAATTGCATTTGGAAAATGGTGGTTTGTACTATGAAAACCTGGTTATGCTAGGCCTGGGTTCCTCAGAATCCTCTTCCCTGTATGATTCTGGGCTTGATTTTGCCAGAACAGGAATTTGAATGAGATTTGGAAGGCAGAAATAAAGCAGCAGCCATTACTCTCTGACAGTCATCATGGTTAGATGCAGTTATGGGCAGACATAAAGGTGTCAGTAGGTTCCAGCTGTCTGTAGTTGCCCACCCCTCCTTCACTCTACCTCCCTGCTCTTTTTGGAACGTCTCATCTCACTGATGTATCTTCATTAGATGCTTGAATGTGAACCTTTTTAGGCAAGAGCTCACAACAGATTTCTCCACCAGCAACCTACTCACAATCGTATTTCTGCAATTGGACATGCCTACCTCCTTAGAGGGACTAATGGGTGGACACTTCTTATCTTCCATTTCCCCCTTTAGACCTTCACTTCCCCAGTGCCTCCCACAATAGTGGTTCAGCTTCCCTCATTGAATCTTGACTGATATGAGGAGATAGGGCCCTGCCTCTTGATAATGCCTGTGTGTGGCATTCTCTTTTCCCCGGAGTAGCACTGCTTGCCCTTCCCTTCATTCAAGTCTCTGAGAGAAGCTCCCTGACAACTCTGTCTATAATTAGTCTCATGCATTGGTATGTCTCTAGTCCTTTACTCTGATGCTTTGGTTTTTTTTACAGTATTTCTTGCACAACACTTTGTATTTATGTTTACTGTTGGTCTTTCCTCTCTGTAATGTCAATTCCATACAGGCAGGGACTTGATCCAAACTATTATTAACAAGCAAGGGGAACCACAAACAGTATTATCAAAAAGGACTTTAAAATAGGAATTTGCTAATGAAATGACAGTGAACTTAAAATATATAATAAACTGTGCCCAAATTCATATATCTAGGTACAAACTTGATCTAAGAATTCTTTTAGTTCTCAGTGTACTATGACTGATTATGACCATTTTTCTTTAAAATACTAGTTTATTATTAGTTTTGATAAAGTTTTTATGTGCTCTTAACTTTAATAATCTTAGATTATACTGATGTTGATTTTCTAAAAATAAAAGTGGCAAATAGAATTACATAGGTAAGTTCTATTGTCTAATAAAAATGTTATGTATAATTATGTATTTCAGATCCTAAGTAACAAAACTGTTACTATAGCTTAAAAAACGTCACAGGATTCAGAGAACCAGTTTTAAGGATCAGTTTAACTTGAGAAAGAACTGCCCTGAAGCACAGTATTCTTAAAGAAGGTGCTGAATGTTCCTGTAGAGCAGCAGTTCTCAACCTGGGGGCTGAACGACCCTTTCACAGGGGTCGCCTAAGACCATCGGAAAACACATATATAATTACATATTGTTTTTGTGATTAATCACTATGCTTTAATTATGTTCAATTTGTAACAATGAAATTGGGGGTCACCACAACATGAAGAACTGTATTAAAGGGTCACGGCATTAGGAAGGTTGAGAACCACGGCTGCAAAGAAAAATTCCTATGTTTAAGAATCCTTATTTGGGGAGCCATTATGTAAAAAAGGCTAACAAGAAGTTGGAAAATGACTATATTTTATTATGATTTATTTTATCTTTGTTTTCACCTGTATAGTTAGGTATGGTTTGGAGTCAGGTCTGGGTTCAAATCCTGGGTCTTTCTTGGGATAAATAAAAACTATTCACAGTCTTGTTGAAAAAATAAAAAATTCCTTATCTTTAAATGGAAATAATAGTACCTACGTCATTAGACTATTTAACAAAATAACCTAGTAGAGTGTCTAGAACATATCAATTACTGGAAAAAAGATAAATCGTCTGATGCCACCATTTTCCAAAAAGATGACATTCTATATTCCCACGTGTTGAGTAGACGACAATTTCCAAATTAGATTTTCTAATGAATGGAATAGTAGAGAAACAGCTACTTATCGACCCTATTTGTCAAATCTATAACCTTTTAATTCTTTTGTTGTGGAAAAATGTTAAAAGTATTTTATTAACAAAACCATTTTCTTTTATGTTATCATTACAAATTCAGTAAGTTTTTAAAGAAACTAAAATAGTAACAATAAATAGTATTATTATCATCATGTAGAATAGTGAGAAAAAGAAATACACAAGTGAGTGTTCTAGTTTTCATTAAAAACTAATTAATTTGCTGTTAAACTGCAGTTACAGATAGTCAGAATATAAACTTAGTCTAAATGTTCAAAAACTATCCAAAGATACAAGATGAATCAGGTATATTTTATTTACTTGTATAGTTAACATTTTGCCCATGTCTCTAAAATGCTAACATTTGGATCTGCCAAAAAACAGAAGTAAAATTAATACTACAAAGATATTTAGAGGAACCAAACTCCAAATAGCAAATCTAACGGTGGCAAAGAACTATATGAAAAAAACAAATCTTTGCATCTTTTCTCCTTCTGTGAATGCTGATAGAGATTAAAATTTTATTGCTACTATCTGGAAGTACCAATTCAGTTGGAAGATTTACATAAAACATAGATTTGAAAAAAACCAAAAAACAAAACAAAAAACCCCCCATAGATTTGAGTAAATGAATATTCCAATTATTTTAGAGACCAAGAATTGGAGCTAATTTTAATCATATTTTCAAGTAGCATGTTATTAAATTAAAAAATATTACTTTAAATACCAAAAAAGAAACTAGTAATCTAACCAAAATATGCATAATGAAAAATTAAAGACATCTTTTTATAAAATTAACCAAAACATAAATTAAAACATACCTGCTAATTGCTCGAGGTTGCAAAGGAATAATGGGGATCACAGTATTGCACAGAGACTTGCAGAGGGGGCAAAGATATTCTCCACTTTCCAAGTCAAAAAGGTCAACATGAATACGCTGCTGAAAGCTCAGCTGTACAGCTTCAAAATATCTGCAAAATTCCAAGACATAGATCCATTCTCATGTATCCTTGTTCTAATCCAAGTGAGAAAAATCTGAAATTTTGGCCTCAATGTACATCATTAAAATCCACATGCAAAAATACACAATTACAATTATAGAAGAAATAGCATGCCCATTCTATTGGGGTAAAACTGAAGGATTCAGCAGGGTAGAAAAAGATTTTTAAATAATTTTGCTTAATCATATCTTATCTCCTGCCTCAACAATATGGAGATAGAATGTAGACACTATTTTCTTCAGTTTCCAATGACCAACTGAAGTAGCCATTGGCTAATTAGGAAAATTATGCATTTAATACAATGCCAAAAGAGTAAAGCCTATACAAAAGATTTCCCAGTAATTACATTTCTGAATTGTTATCTCTTTCAGAGATAGAACTAGAATTTCTTGTCCTATTCTGTCTCAAAAGTATGTTTCAGCCCTAGCCGGTTTTGCTCCGTGGATAGAGCGGTGGCCTGCGGACTGAAGGGTCCTGGGTTGATACTGGCCAAGGGCACATGCCCATGTTGCGGGCTCAATCCCCAGTAGGGGGCGTGCAGGAGGCAGCCAATCAATGATTCTCAACATTGATGTTTCTATCTCTCTCCCCCTCTCCCTTTCTCTCTGAAATCAATACAAATATATTTTTTTAAAAAGTATGTTTCACTCTGTTTTGAGGGGAATGAAATTTTTATAAAGATTACTGTTTCTTTTACACAAATATTGAGCAACTAATTAGTTTGTGAAGAGCAAGTGCAGCCTGGCTGGTGTGGGTCAGTGGTTGAGTGTCGACCTATGAATCAGGAGGTCACTGTTCGATTCCTGGTCAGGGCACATGCCTAGGTGGTAGGCTCTATCCCCAGTAGGGAGCGTGTAGGAGGCAGCTGATCAATGATTCTCTCTCATCGATGTTTCTATCTCTCACTCCCTCCCCCTTCCTCTCTGAAATCAATTTTAAAAATATATTAATAAAAAAAGAACAAGTGCAAAGGAATGATGAATTAAGTGAAATTTAAGTTTGTAACTTTACACACCAATTTCTAAGGGTGGTAATGTAATGATTATCATACAAACGAAATTAGTAATTAAAACCACTTCAATTATTCAAACAAGGAAGGAAGGAAAGCAGACATGAGAAAATATGCTTTTTTGTGGCCTTTAGTGAACTTCAATATTCCTAGTTTCTTTCAAGAATATGTCAGAAAGACAACTTACTTCTGCCAGCACACCGCATGCATTACATGACCACAGCTTCCTGTATAAGTTCCATATGCCAAGTCTGGATCCATGAAAAGTGGGTCCAGGGATTCTGGTATAGGAAGACAAAAATGACAGGTATTATATTCATCGCTCCCACAGTCATAACAATGGGGGTGGGGGGAAGAGGTTATCACATCTAAAATTCTAATCATAAACTTTCTAAGGTATGTGCAAGAAAAGTGTCACACTATCATGACAGCAGAATCTGTATTCTCAATAGTAATTAAAAAGAGGAAAATATAAAAATGATTCTAAAATTAGTATGGATTAATGACTAGTTCTATTCTTGATTTATATTTTTATTTTCAACATTAGGTTTAAGTTGCATTATCTTGGTTGTTGAAGTTATTATCTATGACTCAAGCAATTTACTTTTGTAATTTGACTGGGTAATTTTAAGGGATATTTAGGGGCATTATAATCCACTGGATAAAAGCACACACTACAGGATTCAAAATTTGGTTTCATTACGTACTTATAAGTCATGGCCTTGGGCAATTTACTTCTCTGTGCCTCAGTTCCTTCGTCTATAAAATGGAGCCCATGTTGGTACCTAATTCATAGGGCTATTATATGGATTAAGTGATTAAATACACAGAAAGCACTTATTCTGTGCCTGGCATATGGTAAGTATTCAGTAAATGTTAAAATCAATAGGGTATTTTAAAAATAAAGCTATCTCCTGTTGTGATATAAGTGCAATACATTGGCTAATTAATTTCTTGCCAAGAAAATGCTTACCAGGAACCTGATCATGAGGCAACAATCAGACATATCCACAATGTAAGACACTGTCTAAGACTACTGTCTTGCATTCTTCAAAAAAAGTTATTATCAAGGAAAGAAAAAAGGCAAGTGACTATTCTAGATTAAAACAGACTAAAAGAGACACAACTAGAGCAACACAAAAAACATGTCTGGATCCTAAATGAAAATGTCTAGTTAATAAAAGATGTTTTAAGGATAGTTGGGGAAATTCAAGTATTGATTTCATATTAGGTAATATTCCTGAAATGTTATTAATTTTCTTAAAGTTATAATGGTATGGTAGTACATAATGGATTGTCCTTAGTTTTAGAAAATGCATATGGAAAAATTTAGGGATGAAAAATCATGATACTTGCATCCTACTTTCAAATGATAAGAGCAATGAGAAATGGGGAGGGGAGCAGAGAGAGAGAAAGAGAGAGAGAGAGAGAGAGAGAGAGAGAGAGAGAGAGCTGACAAGAATTAAAATTAAAAAATAAAACAAAGCCAGTATGGCACATAAAGACCCAAGAGTCCATTTTACATATAGGTAAACTATGATTTGACCAAATAAGGCTAAATACAATCTTGCTCCCAAAGTTCTTCCAGATAGTAGTTTCTCTAATTATATAATATGAAATGAAATGCTCAAAAGTATATTTATTAAACAATACATACCCCCTGAGAATTCTATGGGTTTCCCCCTGTGCTGGGTTAAGGCGGTGGATTTCTGGACACAGGCCGATAATACCATGGCATTATTTTCTATTTTCACCTCTTGTTCTTCTTGGCAGAGGATGCATGTCAGCACCTCCTTTTCAGTAATAGATGGACCTCGTTTAGGACCCAAAGCAATTCTAGAGTAGTCACTGACTGGTGGGGTGCTACCAAGAGAAACGACCAGAAATGAGGATACATGTTTTGGTCACTTGTATTATATCTTGGTAGATTTTAAGTAATCATAGGGCAAGAACTAATAAAAACAAAATAAAAATTATATTTAGCAATATTAGCTTAAAGTCCCCCCACCTCCTGATATTTCTGGCTTTTATTAGTGAATTTGCTTATTATAAAGTACATTTTGTGTTGCTAAGTGCAAAAAGAGCAAATCACAAAGTAGAATGTACCAAGAAGCTAGGTATCTGTTTTTACTCTGATTATAAAAGTAAAACATACTTATTAGGAAAATTTAGAAAATCTAGAAAAGTATAAAGAAGAAAGTAAGATGCATTATACTCTCACAACCTAGAAATAATTACTTGTGTATTTCTTTCCAGTCTTTCTATTTAGAACATTTTTACATAATTAAGATCATATTACATATATACATTTGCATACTGCTTTTATTCACTTATATTTCAATATTTTATGTCATTAAAATGTCTTTAGAAACTTTATTTTTAAACGGCTGCACAGTACTCTTACTATATGTGCTTTAATAGTTTTATCCATTCCCTCTTATTAGTAATTTAAGTTTCTATTCTGTTTTGGTAGCTATTAAAAATGTTACACTTTAAATGATTTACCAATTCTTAGGGTCAATGTGTGCAATAATCTATAATAATAAAAGGGTAATATGCTAATTAGACTGTCCTCCTGGACAAAGCCGCAGCAGGCAGGGGCCGCGGCAGAGGCCCCCAGCTGCAGAGGTGGCAGACAAGGTCCAGGGCCACGGCCCTTGCCCGAGTTTTGTGCATTGGGCCTCTAATAATGTAATAATAATAATAGTAAATATTTATTAAGCACTAATTGTGATGTGAGGCACACTTTCAAATTCTTTACATTATGTTAACCCATTTAACCCTTCCAACAACCCTCTGAGGTAGGTACTATTGTTACCTCCATTTTTCAGATGAAGAAACTGAGGCCAAAGATATTAAGAGACTTACCTAATGACGTATCAATAGGAAATAGCAGAGCCAGGATTTAACCCAAGTGGTCTGACTTCCTAGGCCATGCTCCGAACTACTCTGCAATACTACCTTTCTATCTGTGCAAGAGGCTCTCTAAAATGTCATAGATCATTCAATAAATGGGGAAAATTTAGATGTTCATTATCAATGTAAATGGAATTACATAATACAGAATACTATGCAGTTTTTAAAAGGTGGGTCTCAGCTAGGTGTGGCACCACCTCCTAGAAGGCACCCAGCAATATGTGGGTAAGGTTTAGTTTTTGGTTATCATAAGGACTAGGGGACACCACTAGTGTTTAGTGGATGAGGGACCAGAGATGCTAAATGGCCTGCAATTCATGGAGCAGGAAAAAGAATGGCTGCCCAAATGCCAAGACCGATAACAGTCTAACAACATATATAAATTTCCGAAACATACTATCATGTGCAAAGTTGCAGAATATGTGCATAATGCCATATACTATGCAAATAAAACAAAAGGCTGAATGACACTATATGATTCCTATGGCTGCTTATATTCGTTGTGTAATAGCACAGTAAAAACTATGACAAGGTCTATATAAAATTTATATCTCTGAAAAAGGGCAGAAAGGGGTCCAGGGTTTGGGTAAGTGCTCAAATAGAACTTCAGCTTTACCTCTATTATTTGATTTTTAGAGGAAAGTGAATTAATATAACTATGTAATTGTTTTTGTTTTAAAAATGTAATACTATATTTGTGACTCTGGGATAGGAAAAGCCTTCTTAAACATAATCTAAAACGTTAAAACTCAAAAAGGCTAATAAATCTGTTTTATCAACATTGAAAACTTCTCTATGGCTAAACTTCATAATTAATGTTAAAGAAACAGGAATATGAAAAACATGCAACAAGTTTAGTATCCATAATTTTAAAGGACTTCTAGAAATCAGTAAGACAAAAGCAACACACTCAATAGATGGGCAAAGGATAATAACAGGCAATTCCTGGAAGAAAAATGTAGCAGGCTAGTGAACTATCATATGAAAAGATATCCAACCTGGTATTAACTAGTAATCAGGAAAATTTGGTCTGACACCAATTTTGATTATATCCAACATTTTCAAGTACCGATATATTAAGTATTGGTGAGAATGAGGAAAATAGACACTCTCATATACTGTTGGGAGTAGAAATTGGTAACACTACTTTGGAGGGAAACATGGCAGTATCTATTAAAATTTTAAATAATTATGACTTAGCCTTTTCACTTATTAGATTCCACCCTTGAGAAGTACTTGTACAATTGCACAAGGGGGCACATAAAAAATGTTCTGCACACACGTTGTTTACAATAAGAAAAAGTTTGGAAATAAGGGGAAAACTTAAATGTCCAAAGTAAATATTGTGTATATATTCACAGTATAGAAAACTATGCAGCAGTCTTAAAGAATGATGTAGACTCTATACCAGGGGTGGGCAAACTTTTTGACTTGAGGGCCACAATGGGTTCTTAAACTGGACCGGAGGTCCGGAACAAAAGCATGGATGGAGTGTTTGTGTGAACTAATATAAATTCAAAGTAAACATCATTACATAAAAGGGTACAGTCTTTTTTTTCAATAGTTTTATTCATTTCAAACGGGCCGGATCCGGCCCGCGGGCCGTAGTTGGCCCACGGCTGCTCTATACTATACATCTATATATAGACATGAAAAAAATTATAAAACAGTGAAGGGAAAAAGCAATTTGCAAAACAAAAGGTATGCTAAAATAAAATAAGCCACTAAAAAACACAATACTCATTATTTCCTTATGTACACCTGTTAATAAATGGTTGAAAACAAAAGAAGAGGTCTAGAACAAAAATTATGTATAGCAATGGTTATCTGTGAAGAAAAATCAGGAATATAGAGAATGGTCAAAGGGGACTTATTAATTTGAGTTGTTTTTAATGAGAGCATATTCATAATCTTTGTGCAATCAATCAGGCAATAAAACGAAATAATGAAAGCATTAAAGGCATTAATTAACCCTGAATACATTTCCTTGTTTTGATAAATATACAGTATTCTTTTCCATTACTTTCTAAATAGTACATTGTTAATATGTAAAACTAGAGAGTTGGGACTTTCTGCTTATTGTTTTAAAGTTTTGTATTAATTTCTAGCATTATTACCACAGTCAGCCAAGGATAGCTTACCTTCATATCATTTTTTTAAAAAATCTTTAAAATATACAGTCATCATCGTTTGTAGTTTGCTAGCATGCTCAGCTTCAGGATTACAGATACATTATGTGGAGTATAATGTTTCTACTGTTACTGCAAAACAATTTCCCAAAAGTATCCACAATACAAATTATTTTAGAGTTGTGAAAGCTTGTTTTTAAAAATAAGGATAGGAAGTATTTACAATATTTTAAATTGGAATGCTTTTTGAACTACCATTATTTTGCCTCCTCCCTTTTCTGATTGTATCTATATATACAGCCCACAAACCATGGCTCTCAAAAGGCTAATCGATGATAATGCTCTTTTTCCCAAGAGCATACCATAGTCAGGACTCAGAAAATCAGACTTACATATTCCCATTCCAATGTGCTATCCATGACAACTATATGCATTGTCTTCTATCTTTTTAAAAAAAATATATATATATAAACCACCTTTTGGTGAAGGATATTTTTCAATCTGTAATAACTGCAATCATTATTAGAAACTAGAGGCCCGGTGCATGAATTTGTGCACAGGTGGAATGCCTCAGCCTGGCCGGAGATCAGGGCTGATTGGGGCCGTCTCACCCAGTCCCGATCGGGGCCGGCTGGCCAGGGGACAGGACCACGGGAGGTTGGCCAGCTGTGGGGAAGCACTGCAGGAAGCTGGCCGGCCGCAGGAGGCTGGCTGTGAGAGCGCACTGACCACCAGGGGTGCAGCTCCTGTATTGAGTGTCTGCGCCCTGGTGGTCAGTGTGCATCATAGCGATCAGTTGACCAATCATTCAGGCGCTTAGGCTTTTATATACATAGACTAGAGGCCTGGTGCATGAAATTTATGCATGGCCGGGGAGAGGGGGTGCCTCAACCCGGCCTGCAACCTCTCCAATCTGGGATTCCTTGGAGGACATCCCTCTCGCAATCCAGGACCGTTGGCTCCTAATTGATCGCCTGCCTGCCTGCCTGCCTGCCTGATTGCCCCTAACCATCTCTGCCTGCCTGCTTGATCACCCCTAACTGCTCCCTTGCCGGCCTGATCGCCCCTAACTACTCCCCTGCTGGCCTGATCGCCCTTAACCGCCTCTGACTTGTCCCCCGCACCCGGGACCCAGGCTTCCCTCCTCTGGCTGGCTGCAGGCACCTGGGACCTGGGCTTCCCTCCCTCTGGCCAGCTACAGGCACCTGGGGCCTGGGCTGGCTTTGCCTGGGCTGGGCCGCAGGTGTCCAGACTGTGGGTGGCTTTGCCTGGCCAGCTGCAGGTGCCTGGGGCTATCGACGGCTTCACCTGGGCCAGCCACAGCCACAAGCGCCCGGGCCTGGTTTTGTCAGGGAGGACGTCCAGAAGACGTCTGGTCTAATTAGCATATTGCCCTTTTATTAGTATAGATAATAAAAATGATGTGGAATATATGAACTGATATGTAAATGTGTATCTAAAAAAGCCCATGTATATAAGACAACAGGAGTCAATTTCTATTACTTCTGTTCACATCTTCCTATCTTTTTGTCTTTAAAAATAGTGTAATTTCTTACTATAAAATATATTTGAAAAAACGTTATTGGAGTGAATATGTACTTTTTTTCCAAAAACGGATTTGCTAATTTTAAGTTTTGCTTTGTTTTACCTCTCTTCCTCCATAATGGAGTCCTCTTTTCCAGACATTTCTGATGTACTATCATACATGAGTTTGTGAGTTTCAATAAAGGTTTTCTGTAAGGCAGACATTTGAGCCATGATCTTCTGGCGGTGCAGCCTAGCAGCTTCAGCTTTTCTTTTCCGTTCAGCTTTTTCTTTATCATGAGTAATCTGGGTATGATGAAATCACAAACATTAGGTAAAAGCTAGTGTTATAATTTGCATATACTGTTCAGCCAGGCAAAATTTCCTAGAGTAACAGTCTGATAAAATTGATTACCCCACCCCTTAAGCCTAGATTCAAACTTAAGTCTCAAAATTAGCATACTTTCCCATCATATCATGCAACTAATTGCTTCTTTGGTTACTTTAATAATTTAATATAAAGGCTAAATACTTTAAATACCTAATAAACTGTCTTTTATACTCAATGCAGGTACATCAAGAAAAATATTAAATGAAACAAAATTTTGAAATCATTTGTTAATCATTGAACCACTGACATTTAACCAATTTAAGCCAATCTGATGATGTTCAACAGTTACTCTTAAACCTGATGTTAAGGCTAAGATCTTGAACAATATTATTGAGATGTACTGGCATTTAAAAAAAATTAATCCTTATTGTTGAGATTATTATGGAAACCCTCTTTATTCCCCCATAGCTCCCCTCCACCCAGTTCTTACCCCACCCCAGGTCCTTGCCACCCTACTGTGTGTCCATAGGTAATGCATACATACATATAAGATCTTTGTCTAATCTCTTCCTAGACACCCCCAAACACCCCCCACCCCCCCCACACACACACATACAACCTTCCCTCTGAGAACCGTCAGTCTGTTCCATTTCCATGCCCCTGGTTCTATTACATTCACCTGTTTATTTTGTTCATCAGATTTTTTATTCGTTTGATTTTTAGATTCAATTGTTGATAGATAGGTATTTGTTGCCACTACTGTTCATATATTTTATCTTTTTCTTCTTCCTTTTCTTAAAGAATACCCTTCAGCATTTCATATAATACTGGTTTGGTGGTGATAAACTCCTTTAGCTTTTTCTTGTCTGTGAAGCTCTTTATCTGACCTTCAATCCTAAATGATAGCTTTGCTGGGTAGAATAATCTTGGCTGTAGGTTTGAATATTTCTTGCCACTCCCTTCTGGCCTGCATAATTTCTGTTGAGAAATCGGCTGACATTCCTATGGGCACTCCCTTGCAGGTAACTAACTACATTTCTCTTGATGCTTTTAAGATTCTCTCTTTGTCTTTTGCCAAGATCTTGGTGTGGCCCCCTTTGGGTTCCTCTTGTTTGGGGTTCTCTGCACTTACTGGACTTGAAAGTCTATTTCTTTCACTAGGTAGGGGAAGTTTTCTGTCATTATTTCTTCAGGTAGCTTTTCAATATCTTGCTCTCTCTCTTCTTCTAGCACCCCCATAATTCAGATGTTGGTATCCTTGAAGTTGTCCCAGAGGCTCCTTACACATTTTGGCTGCTTCCCTGTGTTTGTTTCTATGTATTGGGTAGCTGCTAATTCTCCTTGAGTTGATGGAGTGGCCTTGTATAGTGGGTGTCCTATAGGGCCCAGTGGCTCAGCTCCCCAATCACTTGAGGTGGACACTGTAGGTCAGTGGTCGGCAAACTGCGGCTTGCAAGCCACATGTGGCTCTTTGGCCCCTTGAGTGTGGCCACGAAGTTTCAATCGCACTGTACGTGCACGTCCACACGTGGTATTTTGTGGAAGAGCCACACTCAAGGGGCCGCAGTTTGCCAACCACTGCTCTAGGTGCACCCCTTGCTGTAGTTGAGCCTTGATTGCTGTTGGCATCATTGGGAGGAATTGACACCCAGGCCAATAAGCTGTGGAGACCAGCTGTGACTACAGTGGGAGAGCTGCTCAGTGGGGCTTTGGTGCTCACTGAGTCTGCCCCTTGAGTGTGCCGTTTATGGATGTGAAGAGTTGTAATCTGGTATAGTCTCACACTGGCCACTGGGTACACTGGCTCTTGGGTCTCCAGGGAGGTGCAAAGTCAGCCACTGCCTGGGGCCATCCAGCAGGAGCTACAGAGAGATCTGCAGATTCTTCCTCCTTGTATCAGGTTTGTAAGTGCCCAGACAAGGCCCAGCTGTGAAGCAAGGCAGGCTGGTGATAGGTTTGAGCTCCCTGACCCAGCTGCAGCTTGTTTGACAGGTTTTTAGCCTGAGAAAAGGCAGGCCATTCATATGCAAAAGCCGCTGCACAGCTTGGGTGGGGTTGTAAATTGGGTGGGCAGGGCCTACAGGGAATCACCAGGGTTGAGCAAATAGCAATGGCTGCCAGTCAGCCCTGCCCTGGAGATGTCCCTGTTCTCTGTGTTCCACGGCTCTGTGCAGGAACAATGATCGCTGTGAGCACCTCTGAGGGAAAGCCTCTCTTGTGTTCTGGTCCCATGCCAGGCAGTCCAGTTTCTCCCCGTATGAGTCTGGGTCCCCAGAATCTTGCCTGGCACTGGATCCTCAGGTGAGGATAAAAAATA